AGTAAGCGGCCAGTATTCATCGAAATAGCAAAACGATCGCTGCCCATAGAAATTCGCAATTGCAACTCGTTGCCCACCTTTAGTCGACGGAGGACGCACAGAAATATGATATTTCCTCTTTCTGTGCGACCTCTTCTCCATCAAATTTCTTTTACATCCTTTCCTTATAAGAAAAGAGTGAGAAGGGAAAGAGGACTAAATTTAGGCATCCGTCACGCAAACTCTTTAGGCAAAATGCGGAATAATTACTGAATACTACATGTTTTAGAAATATACTAATTTGTAGTATTTGTTAGAAATAATATATTTTTTATTTATATTTATTCTAGTATGTGTGATATAAATATATACAAAAATGTTTAAAGACTTCTTCAGTCAAGAACTAAACTGGAAAACTGTTAACAATCTCGAAAGATCCAGAGTTTGCATACAGCTTGTCTGAAATAACATCCTCGGTGGTCCAATTATATCACTTTACAAAAACAATAAAATCATAGCTCTCGAGCTACTCAAGTCACTTATCGCAAACGACCGAGTACATTGATTTCTTTCAACGCCACACCTCAGTTCCGGCGTGCGAAATAAAGCATTGTAAAACACACAAGCAATAAAAACATTCGCTATGATGATTCACATCTGTAACATATAATAAAGGTCAATGGTAATGATGATTGTTAGGAAGGCGAAGAAAATAAAATGCGAATGAATATTCAAGGTCTACAGACAAATGAACCTTGTTCTATTTAAGTTTCTATCTTGTAAAGTAGACAAAGTATCCTTGATCATAGCGAGCCCTAATTTATTTAGTAAATCAGCTCTGTATCGGTTCAAATTTTCAGCTCACAACTTGAGTCGTTGAACTACAGCTTCAATTAAATTGGCAGTTCACAGCTCATCACGATGTATAACTACGTGAGCCGACAAGCTGCGAGTTCGCAGCTAAAAATGCATATCATAACTCATTCAAGTACAAATTGAGCTAAATTGTGAGCCGGTTTACTGAGTTGCTTTACATATGTGAGCTTTGTGTTGATCTGCAAGTCATAAATTTTAGTTGAGTTACCTATGACTAATATTTTCTAATGGTAAATTGTTTAACACTTTTACAGTCAACCAGAATTTATGTAAAACAAAGACAACTCAAAAACGATCACAGCGCCCTCTTTCACAAAGCGCTTTACCAAATTTACACAACAATTTTAAGATCACCTCCTTAATAAAGGGCGTTTCTGATAATTATAACTTATTTGTTATATGAATGGGATACAGACATATTTTACACAATCAAGAACACGCTGTATTTCTTAAAGAACTCACTTGTTTAAAGTAATATTGCCTGGCATTGTCATCGTACGTTAAACGCTCGGACCAACCAAACTATCAACTTGAACTTGCGCGATGACAGGTCTACGATGAGAAATGCGGCAACAATACACCGACTTACCATTTACTAAACTGTGTTATACAGAATTAGTACCTTATTGCACGGGGATAAGGGTTATAATTGTGGGTAGATAGTTTTTTGTTCGCAAATTAATGTTTGATTGGTCGAAAGTGAGAGGTGGCAAGTTGGCAAATAAAGGGACAAAAGCGAAGCGCTCAATTTGTGCCAATCAAAGGCGTTGAGCGAACTTGACCCGGCGAGAGAATGCGGCCCTTGTTTTGATAGCGGCTTTCTGTTTGGCCCTCGCAGCTCGCGGCGCACGCGCGATGTTTGCTGAGTCGTCACTAAATATTGCTTGATTGTCAAGTAATTGGAAGATAATATTGTTTTAACTTTTAAGTACTTTTGAATATACAAAAGTGTTTTATCGAGCCTAATAAAAATTTTAAAATGTATACGTGAATTGTGCAATTGATGAGTTAAGGTAGTCCTATGAAAAAGTTCCACTGTTGAAATGTTGTAATTGTTAAAAAAACATTTACGGTTTTTTTTTAAATAAAATAGTAGTAAAAATTTACATAAATAATAACAAGATTTTTTGTGTATTTAAAATTCCTTATTCAAATTATTTTTTATACGTAATCGATATCGCTACGCTTCAATTGGCGGCAAAATCAATAGATATCTAGATTTAAATTTATTTTATTCATAAACAATATTATCTTGTACATATGCAGGTATACGATACCGTAATACTTTATATTAACTACTGCATTCAAATTTAATACTTATTCCATGACAATAAGGAAGAGATTAGCGTGAGGCTAGCTGGGATATAATTCTAAGTTTCCTTGTCACAAGTAACGCACAGAATATGTCATTACATCAATTAAATAGGCAATAAAGCGATCGTATCTAAGTTTTAAAAGCGATCAGTCGTCTCGTTATAGTTATTAACAATTCAATCAATAAATTTTACATTGCCTTTTGGCGCCATCTGACGGCGAATGACGGCAACTGACGGTGCCTTAAATAGCAACACTTTCAGAACAACATTACAGATCATGTTAGATATAAAACTAATGAATCTCATTATCCTAGATCTATTGCATTGCCTGGACCTACTTACGTAATTGTTGCGTCAAAGGTTAATCGATTCAATGTCAATTTGTAAAGCTATCTATCCCTAAGTTAGCTAGTAAGCTTTGTCATTTAGATTTATGATCTATGTAAGACATTTTTTTTTAGAATTGTTGAAAGGAGCTGAACGCATCCGTACGAGCGCTTTAAGCCGCGATAAAATGCGTTCAAAGAGAAATGTATTTCCATATATTTCATACAGCAATGGTTTTAATAAGCGACGCTTTTTTATCGTTAGGCGTTCAAAAAGCGGTCGTGCGGATGCGATCTTAGACAGAGTTCTTCCTTTCAGTTTTGTTTCACAGATTTACATTACGATTTTTGTTTATGAATAAAAAATAGGAAATTAACTTTAAGTTTCCTGTTCAAAGTATTATTTAAAATGTAAATTAAATTGTACGTTTAATACAATAATTTATTACTAACAATGTAGTTATTAAGACAGACATAATATTGTGCAATTGACGTCATTTGACAGCAAACAGTAGTTACAGTTAGTATACAGATAAAATCAGTAAAAAAGACATCGTGCATAACAAAACTGACTCCTTGACTCTAGACTATTAAAACTCAATAACATTACTAATACAGATATAGTCCTGCAAACTTATCTGACCCGATGGGTATAACTTAAACTATTACTAATAATTACAATAGCTAACTAACGCCTGCTAATGCTGACAATCTTACTAATATTATAAATGCGAATGTTTAGATGTTGGATGAATGGATGTTTGTTTGAAGTTATTTCCGGAACTGTTCAACGGATCTCGCTGAAATTTGACATAGATGTAGAACATAGTCTGGAAAAACACATAAGCTACTTATTACGTATATAATTCCGCGCCGATGGATTCCCACTGGCAAATCGTTTTCGCAATAGATATCTTATCATTTTTTTTTGTATTTTTCTGTGGTATTCATCTTTCACGGGTCAGATAACTTTGTCGCACTATACGTACAATACAAAGGTAATCAGCGGCATTGTCTTACTGTTATTAAAAACACATTCGTATTAATTTATCTGATAGAAACATTGTCTTCGCGATGACAAAGCAAAATAAACGATAATGACATTTTTACATTAACGCATCAATAAAAATTACATAAATCGTTGAACTTGTATATCATTGTTACTGAGATTTATATACTTAACTAGCTGTCGTCCGCGACTCCGTCCGCGCGTAAAAAAAAAAAATTAATATGTGTTCTTCCAGACTATGTTCTACTTCTATGATAAATTTCAGCCTGATCCATACATTCGTTCTCTAGTTCAAAGAACCATCCATCCAAACAAACATTCGCATTTATAATATTAGTAAGTTCAGTTCCACGTATCGCTTTGATTTTTGCTTTTTGTTAAGGAAAAAATTAATTTTAACTTTGAAAAGTTATCGAATAATTTACGAAAGATTTTTTCTACTGTAAAAAAGTATTAAGCAAGTTCATCCACCAGAACAATTTTTTTAAATTTTAAACGTCTAAATAATGTTTAAGTAAGTTTTACGAACCAAAAGCGTACAAAATAACGTACTTATACTAATATAAATTATTATTTTAGCGGCGAAAAACAGTTTCAGAAAGAATATGGTATTTAAAAAGACCAAAAATTCCACTCTCAGAAATAAATCACATCTCAACCTCGTTTGATTGAGTTGTACTCAATGATTGACAACTCAGAACCAAAGTGACGGTGCTGAAAGTACTCGATTGCTTTGACACAACACGTCGGCACCAGTCGGCACATAAACGTCTAAATTAAAGCTAAAAAAGCGGCCGTCACTTACAATGTTAAACGAATACAAAAACAAAACATAAAGAAAAAAGAAATGATGAACATTATTTATATCTTACAAACAAGCTGAAATCAATTGTTCATTAATTTTGGCCAGATGACAACTTAAAAAAAGTGACAGCTGTCAGAGTACTTTTGAAATGAAACGGGGAAATGTCTTTAAGACATTTAAATGAACAATAAAGCGACTAAAGCGCTTTATTCGTAATTGAAGCGACGGCGGCTGGCAAAGCGACAAATGGGAGTGTAAAAGTTGTCGCGTCATTTGTCAGCGTTAATTAGCGGTTTAACATCTCTTTTAGGAGTTGGGAGTCTGTACGACTAATGATCTTTGACCATTATGTTACCGTAGAACACTGCAGAGTTAATACATGCTATCTCTTTCATTCTGTTGTATAAAACAGAGACAACAATATAATTCCAATTCTACTGTTTTTGAAGAGCGATTGTTTTTGTCGGCTTTTTGGAATTCATGTTAACATGCGCGTGGATACATGTGTGCGTTTGTTTTTTATGTGTGTGTGCTTTTAACGGTTACGCTTTCTCCTCTATCTATTGATAGATTTGAATAAACATTATGTATGTGTGATGTTTAAAAACTAATTAATTTTAAATCCGTGGTAACCTTGACTTTTAAAAATGGAAGGTTTAAGATCTTATCAATAATAAAATTAATATTACCTCTGTAATGTCGTACTCCTCTGTAGCTCTATTAAGCTTTGTGAAGTATCTGCAACAAAAATAAAACAAACTTATTTTTTTTATAGTTGACACAACACGTTCAGTGCCATTGCACGCCTTGTGCACAGTTAGAAATCATATTAGCATTGAAGGTGTTAAACCTAAAACTATACAGCATACAAATATATTGACAAATTAAAAGGAAGATAGTTAAATTGTTAGTCTAGATTTATTTTAAATTATCCGTTACCTTTTGTATGACATTAATTGTAACATGAACATGAATTATTACTAATTCGAGCTATTTAAGTCACAAGACGTGACCACTTGACATGATCAAGACATACCATAAAAGGCAAACAATATAGCAATTTGGATTTTACAGAATTGTCTGGATCAACGTCTGATTAATTCAAATCATCTAGCTAGTTCCAACAAGCTTGCATTGATCCATACAACTCGTGTACAAAATGCGACACTGAGTACAAAGATTCTAATTTCCTTGAATGACAATTTGAGTTATCGTGAACATAAAGTTAGTTGTACAAGAATGTGTCAACAAACTATACTTATCTATGAAAACTAACCTAAATTTAAATTAGTCGGTTCATACAATGAAAGAATTAATTTTTTTTTTTTTTGATTTGTAAAACCTGAAAAAATATTTATTTACATCCTTATACATATATATACTTATAATACATAAACTCTTAAATCTATGATATAAAATAAAATTAAAAAAAAACCGAATAATTAACTAAAATATGTTAATAAAAGGAGTCCCTTTAGGCAAGGTCCCGAAGATACTGGCAGCGTTCCCCCTCTGTACAGCTAAACTAATTCTTTGACCGAGGTAGCTGCCAGCTCTTCGGTCCCCTGTTAAGAATTAAATTACATTAAATACTAAAAATACAAGAACTTAGCACGTATGTATACATGGTCGGCGTTAGCTTTTGTTGACCGCCCAGGGGTATAGACTGAAAGGCGCGCCAAGACGCAAAGGCAGGGTAAATGTAAGAGGGCGACCTAGTAGAGTCGTAGAGACCTTGGTACTGTATTAACCTTTTGGTATCCTGTCGTTACGGAAGCAACACTTTTTTCACACATTTTCTCAATCCACGTTTTATGAATCATAGCTGTCTTGTTTATATTGTTGGAAGATTGCGTCGAGTGATGTACATTTTGGCAAGTACTGTTGCCAAAAACATATGGATTGTAAGATTTTAAAAGGGTTTCTTTAATATGTAAATGTTTTGGTAATTGTGCATGTTATGTCGGCTGAAGTGTTTAAATGAATCATCTTGAGAATTATAAAAAAATATCGTAAAAAAATGTTTATACGAATTTCTAGGTTCACTTGGTACATCACTACCATTTTATTTTATGACAATCTAGACACTTCTGGTAATTCTAGATTGTCATATAATGTACAGTGCCTAGATTTTTTTTAATTGTGTTTTTTGGAAATTATATTTAAGTACGAATTACTAATAAAATATGAATAATATTTTTCGATCTTACCGATAGAAAAAGTTAAGTTTATGTTTAAGTTGATTATCGATAAAACACTAACAAAATGACATTTTCTAAAAATGATGATTCCTAGCTAGATCGATTTGTCGCCCACAACCCCCCTATATACTAAATTTTATGAAAATCGTTGGAGGCGATTCCGAGATTCCAATTATATATATATACAAGAATTGCTCATTTAAAGATATAAGATACAACTGTCTTATACTTTCCTTATGTAAATGTATAACAAAGTGTAACATTAAACAAGACCAATAAAAGAAGTTCAAAATAAATATTTAATATGAAAGTAAGAAATGGACAACTTGAAATATTCTTTATTTTAGTATAATATTAACACTTGTGACAAATTAAACTGACCTTATACGTAACTACAAGCGAGAACGTTTAGCCGCTGAATAAAGCGATAATAAATACTTTTAGGGCTGACAATGACTTCGAGGTGACAGTTTACATATTTAAACTCTAAAAACCACCCAACCTTAGCGTACACGTTAAACTACTATCAAAAGTAAGAAAATTATATCAAAAAGGAATCCAATTATCACGTCTTTTGTGATCTAAAAGCCGCCTCTATAAGTCCCTGGCAGCGAAGTACTCGAATAATCAGACACAATATTTGCCTCACAATTTGTTTATGCAACTTATTATCCAGGCGCCCTGTTAGATCCGTCAGGTACCACATGAGAAAATCCCCGGGACGGCGTGGGAACGCGACTTACTCTCAAGTCAATATTAGCCCTGCTCGCTTATTGTTACCGACGAATTTAGAAGCTAGTTTTTATGTATCAAACGATTCCGGCACACCGTACCTCTTACACCTACGTAAGAAGTGCTGTTTGAACTTGCAATTAGTCCGTCTGTCGTTGCCGATATTGTAAATAATGCATTTTTGTGGGTCACTTTTATTGCCGGTGGCTTGGGATTCGTCATGGGTGGCGGATGCATCGCCTTTCTTATTTTATGACGGTTTTTTTGTCTTCCTCGCATGCCACACGTATGTGATGATGAAATTGACTCTTCACACTCGTATCTTTGTGTTCTTCGAATACTTTGACACCTCATCAGTTTGTAAAACAATATGGATGACTAACCGTTGATTTCTAATACCGAAATCTCCGTATAAAACGTATCGTCATCGTTGTCATTATCTTTGAAAAAACAGAAATAACAATATATTTTCAACGGAGATTTTAGTCTCAGAAACTCACGATAAGAAGCGTTTTTTTATTAATGAAATCAATATCTTAATACTGAAGTTTCGAAAACTTACTGCGCTAGATATACTATTTGTGATTATTGCTATCATATTGTAAAATTTCAGAATTCCATAATGATAAGTGAACATTTTATAAGCAGTTAAGTTGCATAACTTAAGTAACAAGCAGCCGTTTGTCGGGATCAAGCTAATAAATTTAACAACTCTATTATATTTAATTACAATCAATAAATAGCGCCTGTGTTTATAGAGTACGCAAGTTGAATCCAGTAAGGTGCATTGTTACAAAGTTCAAGGAACTCTGTTACTTAAGTTTTTAATTACTTACTATTATAATATTTCAAAAGATAGATCAAATGAAACAAAATTCCTTTCGAATAAAAAAAGAATTATCAAAATCGTTAACTATAGAAAATACCAATTGGTTTTATATAAAACTCAACACATTTCATATCAGAAATTGATGTTTACATTTCTTCCGGTCCGATTACGTAGTCGAGGGTTCGAATCTCGTTTTTCGTTATTATCGTTAACCCTAGCACAAGCTTAGATGTTGAATTAAATTAACAAAAGTCTACTAACGACGACTGCCACATGGAATATTTAATAGAATACCAAATGAATGTTTTATTGTGATATCCTTTACTCTTCTCTCTGTATGTGTGGTAGTCCGCTAGGCGTTTGTTCCTTGTGACCTCCTGAACGGCTGTGCTGAACACAAAGTTGTCTTATTGCGCATGCTTTGACGAAGTCGCGTGCGACCGCTAGTGTTATAAATATTTTCATGTACTTTATGAATTCGTTACAAAGCCGCAAATGTATTTAATTATAAAACTTGTATTACTTTATTATTAAGTTGTTGTTACAATCAAGCCTCACCTTACAGCTTAAGTTATTAAAGTTATTATTGAGGAGTTATAGCTCGATTCATGATTCAAGTTGTAACATTAAGTTAAACTTTACATGGCTGTTATAACTGTTTTCGTAACTTTAGTTATTGGATTTTGTAATGATTTATACAACTTGAAATTGGGAATGTAATTTTTTTATAAATATAGGACACTATTAATATACGGGTTAAGTTATCAAGTCTGATTATTTTTTACAATTTGACGTCTTTAAACAAATTATAAAAATCTAAGAGTATTTTTACACTCTAACATCGAACTCATTGTCAATTTACCATTTATTTCTGTGACCAAAATCTGTGTAAAACATATCGTCATCCCTGTCATTATCTGTGACAAAATAGATAACGACTTATAACATTTTACACGGGTATTTTGGTCTCAGAAACCCACGGTTATTGACCAATCCCACTCATATTGTTGCAATAAATGTTTGCGATTTTATGTTAAATATAATACTTTTTTAGAATGATTAAACTTGTTTAAAAAAAAGAATCTGGCAAATATTAATGTAGCATAAAAAGCAATGGGTACGCTACACCGACAGAGAGTTTTCCGTCAATCAAATTAACTCCACCATAATGTATAGAAGAGGTCCAATAAAGTCACTTCGCGCCTAATTATCGCATTTCACACTCGACCCTGGGAAATAATTACACGGGTTCTCATAGGGACCTTGGAGGGAAGGTCCCTAATGGGGTGTGAGCCTTGTAAATAACTTAGGCCGTGTGTAATCTGTACCCATTTTGCTTTGACACAATTAACACGTGTTAGATGTTCTGTTTGATGTGAAGGGAGACATACGCGAGATGTCTTTTACATATTAAAAGACACATTTTAAGTTTATTTTATTTTGAATAGAATTTTAAGGCAAATATTATTGGATTAATTTCTTTTCCTTGTTTCTATTCCTTTAATATATATTTAACTTCTTTAAGCAAAGTCTAGTAACGTAACAAATATAAAAAATGACAGCTGATTTTCCTAGATCTTACTTGTAATATTATAAATGCGAATATTTGGATGGATGAATGGATGTTTGCAGAACGGGTGCATGGATCGCATTGAAATTTGGCGTAGATATATATTATCTGGAAGAACACAGACTACTTTTTAAGTTTTTTTTTAAATATAAAAATAGCGTTAAAATAAATAAAGGTTTACAATCATTAAGTACTTCGAAAGAAGGCGAATTGGACTTTATCTTAATATGATATTATTTTGTAAGTATTAAAGTGTAGATGAACAAACAAACCCAAACATATCCTACACAAGCCATACAAGACGAACAAGACAGAAATAAAGTGAAGATTAATGTAGCGGGACTTAATAATCCTTTGAGACAATGCCTCACGTGCCCACCACAATCAAGCAAAAACAAACTTTATT